ATTTTCTCATTTTAAAAGTATATATAAATATACCCAACATATTCTGGGAGAATCAAGGAGCTAATGAATAAAAAAGAGCTTTAACTCTGGCTGATTTGGCTCAGTGGATAGAGCATCAGCCTGCAGACCAAAGGGTCCCAGGTACAATTCCAGTCAAGAGCATGTACCTTGGTTGCAGGCTCCTCCCCAGCCCTGGGGCTCATGCAGGAGGCAACCGATTGATTCTCTGTCCTTCACTCTCTCTTCCATTCTCCCTAAAAATCAATGAAAAAAATATCATGGGGCAAGGATTAACAACAACAACAAAAGCTTTATACATTATATATTGTTACCAAAATCCCCCCAAACCATAATTGAAGTGTCCAGGTCAAATGGCTGTAAACACACAGAGTGTGAAACTCATCACTCTGGTTCTTATTTTTGTTCTTCCACAACTCTATGACTCAGGCTACCAGAGCTCAATTTTCTCTAGTCAAGTGGTAATTGTATTTATTAAAGATTATTAAAGCACTGAAATAATCAAAGGCATAATTGTTCAAAGGCTCAGGCGTTTTCCTGCCAACCTTTAGAAAAGGCTGTTTTACTTTGTTTATGTTCTAGTGTAGACTGAAGGGATAATATTCTCTAGAGTCACAGGCAAAACTCTTTGAGAAAAAAAAATAGATCTTTGTGAAATAAATGTGAACTTTGCAAAAAAATAAAAAAAGAGGAATGATGTCATCAGTACCTCTATGACTAAGATGAGAAATTATTTCCTGCTCTGGCATAGAGGCACTTTTACAGCTGTGGGAAGTTAAGAGCAATGCTGTTAATCCTAAAAATAAAGGGAACAGCATATATAGATGTGCAGAGAAGAGCAAGATCTCTTCCATTTGTTTACAGAAAGAAATCCATTATAGCTTTCTGGAACAGAGAGTGTCCTGGGGGTGAGTGACAAGAGATTGGACTGAAAAGGCAAGTAGGGTAGGATGTTTTAGCAATATAAAAGATTTTGTGCTTTATCCTAAAGGCAAGAGATAGCTCTTTTACATGGGCAATAAAATACTTGAATTGTATTTTGGAGAGATCATTGTTGTTATTTTTGAAAAATAGATTTAATGAGGCCAAACAAGAAGCTGGATTAGGAGATTGTTTGGGCATGAAGAGAAGTTATTGGATTTTAAATATAAGTAGAATTGAGAAAACTGGGTGATTGATTGGATATATTTGAAGGGCTGGATGAGGCCTAAACCAGAAAGCGCTAAATATAGACTTGGGAGTCAGTAGCATGTATATAGTAATTGGAACCATGAAAATGGATTAGGGGGTTCTGCAAAGTTCTCAATGTCTCTTCTCATGGATGATCAAACATCTCAAATCCATGATTGAATTTGAACAAATTCCCGTCTCCTATAGACTCTTCCTCCTCTTCCTGTTTTATATCTCCATTTTTACTTCCACCTCTGTCCAACTAACAAAAAATTCATATTTGCTTTGATTCCTTCTCCCTCCCGATTTCCAGTGCCAATCACTTAATTCTATAAAAACTGCCTCAACAGTCTCTTGTATTCATCTTCCTTTCCATTGCAATTACTACCCTAGTTCAGCTCCTCATCTTCATTTGCTTAGAGAACTTGAATAGCCTTTTTCTAGTTTGCCAAACCCTCTCTCTAATTATATAACTTCCCAGTTATCTCCCTGAAATATAAGCTGGATGATGGTATTCCCTTCATTAAAAACAAAGAAACTTCTAGTTTCTCAGGTGTTTATATATTAGAGTCCAAAATACATTTCTTGTTGTAAATGTCTTTCATAATCTCACTATGATCTGTCACTTCACTCTTCTTGTCCACATAACCCTTCATCTATATCACAGATGGTACACTTGATTTCTTCCTTTGCCAACACATGTTATGCCCATGCTCTTTAAGCCTTCACATGTACTTATATTTTTACTAGAGGCCCTGTGCATGAAACTCATGCACCAGGAGGGAGAGGTCCCTCAGCCTGGCCTGCAACGACGCCAGCGTACCTCGCTCCAGGGGCCCCTCCCCTCCCCTCCCTCCACGTGGCTGTGGTCCAGACACTGGGCTCGCATTGCCGGGGAGATGCCACCAGTGTCCCGCCCTGGCCACTATGGGCGCTGCCATATCTGTCATGGAGTGATGGTTAATTTACATATTACTCTTTTATTAGATAGGATTTCAGTCAGAATTCCTTTCCTCTTCCTTCTTGTCTATTAGAATTCTTTCTAAAGGCTCAGATAAATGCTTCTTCATCCTTGAAGCCCCATAGATCCTCTTGATACAATTTAATTGCTGCTTTCTTTGTACTGTAGTCATATCTTGGTCCCGCCTCTTCCACAGCACTTATGGCTGCCAAGATTTTGCTATATTCTGTTCATGTATATGTTTTTCATATTAGGTTTTAAGTTCTTTGAGAACAGGCACTGGATTTTTATTCAATGTTGAATCATCTATGCCTAGCATGCTGCTTTGTAAATAGTTAGAACTTAATGAATGTCTGTGAAATAATGAATGCATGTATAAGTGAATGAATTAATAAAAAATACCTGACCCTGTTAGCATTGAAAACCTATAAGAAGTCCAACATTCGACTACTAAGCTTAAAATCACCCCTAGGGAGATATGTTCTCAAAAGCAACGAGTCTAGATTAGGCTTTATCTTATCAGTTCTGTACTTTGAGTTCTAGAGACATCTGTGTACTTATTGAGGCAATTTTCCCCTTTATCACACCGTGATTGTCCATTTGCTGAGAAAATACTTCTTTCCTAGATCTGAATAGCTTTCTAGTTTCCATAGATACTGTGAACTCACACCTGCTTGCTTAGGACTCTGTCAAACATTTCCTTGGGAAGTAGACCCTATGCTTACTCCTTCTTCTTCCAACACACACACACACACACACACACACACACACACACACATACCACATGAGTGTGAACTGCAGCCAGCTTAAAATCAAAACCCCAGCTCTCTCCTTGTCATGTAGCTGATTAAAGGAAGCAAGTGCTGATTTAGGCTTTGTTGATGGTCTCCATTCCTTAGAGAGGAAGCTTCAAGTGCTATGAATCTGTACGTCTGAGTAAGGATTGCCTCAGACCTGAGCCCATTTTGCCATGTCTGTTCTCTGACCCTCAAAGATGTAGTTCAAGTGTCTCCTAGCATAGACTACAAGGGGAATGACTTCAATTGCAACTATAGGAAAGGGAAAGGGTGGCTCATAAAGTAATGATCAGGTAAGTTCCTTTTTAAAGGATAGGGACATTAAAAACATTTCTACTTCTATTCTCCTACTAAATCCAAATCTATTTTGATAGCTGTGCTTCAGAAAGCCAGCAGTCTTACCACCACAAAGAGAAGTCAGACAGATTTCTACTGGGAAATATCTGACATAATAATGGGTGTGAAAAACATCTTAAAATGGGTGAATGGTCCCTATGTTCTTTGGGAACCTTCCAAATAGCTGGTATTGATTTTTTAATGAGAGGAAAGCTGACGAAATACAGGATTTTATGTTAGTGAATTCAGCCAGCGACACTCTTGAGTCTCCTGCAGATGTTGTGCTTTTCAGCAAGATGGGGATTTCATGGATTATTTTCCCCCCAATTTTCTCAGGAGTAAATATGAAGGACTGTGGATATCTGGATACATGCTGCTTCCTACTGAGTATGAGCCATTAACTCTATAGTGGACTTAACCACATGTTGTGTTCATAGTTCTGGCTATTGATCATTCATGAAAGATAGAATTTATGACTCATATCAAATATTTCTCAAATTATATCTGTGTCCTGGTGTGGTACATTGAGTTCTTTTTAGGGAAGTTTACACATCAAGAGTCAGTTTGAGCCAAAACCAGTTTGGCTCAGTGGATAGAGCATCGGCCTGCAGACTGAAAGGTCCTGGGTTCGATACCTGGGTTGCGGGGCACATCCCCAGTGGGAGATGTTCAGGAGGCAGCTGATCGATGTTTCTCTCTCATCAATGTTTCTAACTATCTCTCTCCCTTCCTCTCTGTGAAAAAATCAATAAAATATATATTGTTTTAAAAAAGAGTCAGTTTGAGAGAGAATTGAGGGAACTGTAGATTACCCACATAGGTAGAAAATAATCTTTCATAAATTTAAATTTAGTTTTTATTATAAGAAGCTATAGTACAGAAAGTGTGGTCCTGAAACCTTTACTAACGCTTTGAGTATACACAGAATGCCATGTGAAGCCTGAAAAGAAGAAAATTGAGAGGTAAATGACCAGAGCAGAGGGAATAACACACTGTTCTTTTACATATATATATATATTTGTTCATTGGTCTAATTGGTTCACATTGCCTCTGATCTCTGTTTCAATTACTGTGACAGCCTAAATCTAACATTATGCTTTATCTGAATTAGTATTTTTCACTGAAAATTTTCTTCCTTAGTCTCAAAGTCAAGACTTGAGTAATTAAAACATGGAGAGATTTTCTTGGATATGTTATATACCAGAAACCCTCAACATATGATTTTAATAGCATATTATGAGAATTTTTTAAATACTTGGTTAAAATAACATACATCTACATTTTAAATGAAATAAGGTTACATTAATTCTATAATTTAATGAGTATTTAATGTACTATGACTCATGCTAGCAGTTTTCCTTTTAGGTAGGCAGAAAAGCTTACTAAATAAGAGAAAAAAGTTCACTGATAGTTTTCTGAATCGATTTTTTTTAAAAAGCTGTTCTTTCACATTAGTGTGCTCACTTATTATCAGTGAGCATAATTTTAGTGTCTCCTGAGAAACAGCATAAACTCTATTTGTGCTTTTCTGCTTTGGGTTTACTTTGAAATGTCTGTGACTGGTTCAATTCCC